CCGCCCGGGGGTATATTCTGAGCTGCATCTTAGTCGACCTTTCAAGATGCAGTCGCAATCATTTGCATAAAAAATTCTCCAAAACATGGCGAAAGAATCGGTTTAATGCGGCTCGCCGACTCTGAAATCGGTGGCGTTAACACCCCCCCCCCTTCCCCATAAGGCAAAATTGTCAGTTTTTGAGTTCGGATGGTCTCTAGCTTATTCAGAGGATACAAAAGACTCAAGAAACCATCAAAGAATCTCATAGGCGACCAATAAACCCGGGTGTAAAAACTGCCAATTATACGCCGAATTGGCAACTTTGACCCCCAAAATGAGGGGTAAAACTTCGAGATAGAGAGAAATGCCCATTGACACTTTTGATCAGTAGGTGAAGACCTACAACATATCAAAACGCCAGCCGATTTAACCGGGCCCACTTTTCCCATAAGACCGGTCCGTCGTCCTTTTTCGACCCAATCTTCTTTTGTGTTAATAAATGGTATTCGATCCCTTTTTAGAAGTTTAACTTTTTAAAAAATAACTTTTGTAGGGGTATAATTTAGGCTCTCTGAAAAGAGTCTCCATTTTTTTTTTTTTTTTTTTTTTTTTTGCCAGCAGTCTGAATTCCGCGCATAACTTTTTGTATTGTAGGAAAAGCTCCTTACTGGTGTCAGTTTTATATAATTTAGCTAAATGGTCAAGGTTAACGGTGGCAATGGTTAGTTTTTCAACCGTTGACAGTGCTCATCCCACCAGGGGATTTTTTTGTACTTTTTTTTTCTTTTCTCTAAGTGAAAAGGAGTGGCCTGAAATTTTTTTAGGGTAGAGATTCTGAGTTTCTTTTCCAATACTTAGATAAACATCATAGGTGTATGAAGGTTCGGTAAGGAGTGAATCTTGAATATTACGAAAAATACTCCAGTTCTGAAGTCGGTGACTGGGTGTAGTCGGAGCCTTTCGAAAATTGGTAGAGAAGAAGGAGGAGGAATTTGACTGCCCGTTAAAGATATATAGGTAAGGCTAATGATCACTGCCTCCAGTAGGGAGGGCTTCCCATTCAAGGGCTTGAGTCAGAAAGTCTGAGATAAAAGCAATATCAGTAAAGCTTGGGTCTTGAGTCGGTGGGGTTTTCCTAGTGGGCTGAGGTCAGAGTGAATTGATATTAAAAAGTTTGAGTTTGTCTGGTAGTTCCACCAGAGTATTACCTTTGTTATCACTTTGCGGATATCCCTACATAGAATGTTTGGCATTGCAGTCACCTCCAATAAACAAAGGTTTAGTAGCAAGGTTGTTGATAGATAGAAAATTGGTTAGGTGAGTTTTGGTGAAATGGCTTTCTGGATGAATGTAGATATTAAGGAAAAATAGTTCTAAATTGTTGTCCAGGATAACTTTAAAAGCCTGAGTTTCGATTCTTTTATAAAAAAGGTTCTATTGTCCAACGGAATAGAGTATGAAGTGAACTTAGTTTTTAGGAGCAAGACAGGCCTCCATAACCATCATCATGGTCATCTCTGTAACAGGTATAGCCTGGGAACTTTTTAATTATGTTTGGTTTTAAGCAGGTTTCAGATAGTTCGATAATATCAGGGTCATGTTCTTGAATGACTAACCTTAGGTCAGTATCATCGAAAGTAAGGAGTGAATATTCCAAGTAGGGAGGGTAAAGTTAGGAGGTATAACCAAAAAAGAAGTGTTAGGCATAAGATTTAAGGAATAGAAGAAACAACAAAGTTATTTATGTGAGAGGAGGATGGATAGGAAAACAATATTGGCGAAGTATGAAGGAATAATATAGGTAGGAAGAAAAACGTGTTAGACCGGGAGTTAAGAGTTGTTCTGTTCAGGTTGCGCAGTATTAGATATAGTAGAAGATGAATTGTCTATTTTTGTTGAAATAGAAGAGGGTAGAGGTTGTGAAGATTTAGTTGATTGAGAGGTATTTTTGTTGACTGTGCGGATTAGAGGGGCTGAGGTGATTTTTTATGGTTTTTGGTGAGATTTATTAGATTCCTGTAAAGGAATTGCATTGTGAGATGAAGGGTTAGAATGTTGGGTTCTAGAGGGAGAAGAGGATTGGGTTGAAGGGGCGGTAGCAGCAGAGAGAGAATTTTTATCCATAATGTTCGTTCTCGAAAAGCTCGAGAGAGAAAGAGAAGATGCTGACTGTGTGAGTTTAGAAGGACTAGAGTTTGCATTCTTAGGACCTAAAGTATGAGTAGTCTCCGGCACCCCTGTCACTCCTATATTTTTCTCGATCCACTGGGCAGAGGGGAAGGAGTCATCAGAGGAGTGTTTAGATTTTTTCCTAGTAGGTGAGGGGGAAGCCATTGCATCTGAATATGTCCTCCTTAAATCATCCATAGAATACCTATAACTATTAACAACTTCCATAGGTTCAGATAGGTTAGAGAAAGAATTATTTAATGGAGGGAAATTGGCAGCTTGTATTACCTCAAGAGAATTTATTTCGCTATTCCTTGAGTTATTTTGGATACTTTGAATGCTTTCGTTAAGGTTTGAAGTTGAGGTTTTCATTTTTTAACGTTAAGATCTTTGATGCTACTGCGAAGGAAACTTTCTGATAAGCCATTATTTCTTTAATAGCTTTTTGTTTTTTAGTTCTGGGCATACTAGGGAAAAAGTGAGGTGGTTTTCGGAACAGTGAAAGCATTTAACAGCATGAGGACAAATATCTTGAGCTACGTGTACAGTAGCACATTTGTGACATCGTTTGTGGCTTTTGCAGGTAAGATTGCCGTTATATTCGGCACGATGGCCTAAGTTTAAGCAGTTTAGACATTTAGTTACATTGTAGATATAAGGGATAACGTTACATTTGGCGTAGAAAATATAAAGAAAATCAGGCATGGTCGTACCTTGCCAAAAAATGTCTAATTTTGAAGTTGGGATTAGAGCTTTGTACTCATTTTTCTTATAGATTCTTCTTCCGCTTGTAACATTGTCATATTTTTCGCTGAGGAATTTACCTATACTATCAATGTCTAACTCATGGTGTACATTATTTGCGATAATTCTTCAAGTGGTATATTTGAGTGGAATGTAACAGGAGCAATTTTCATAAGGGATGAGAAAAGTTTTATTATCCACCAGATTGTTAGCATAGTTCTTAGAAAGTAGTTCCATATTAACAAGGTCTTCATTCACTCTGGAAATAGATTTAATACCTTCAATTTTATGTTTATAGAAGAATTCTCCAATTAGTGTTGGGTGTTTATTCCCGATTCCGTCTTCAGCTACTGATACAATGAAAGGAGCAGGTGAGTTTGGAAGATATCTTAGGCTGGGTTTGTCTTTTAAAATGAAAGCCTTTCTCGAGGGTAGAACCTTGTGAATGAGTTGCATTACTAGGGATGAGAGACGATGTGAGTGCTGGATAAGGGCGAAGTAGTGATTGTCGGATTTGAGCCAGGGTCTCCGGGAGGATCAGAGAGTGTTCTCCCGTGGGATTCGGGGGACGAAATTGAGACTTGCATGATGTAACTTACATGAGGAGTTAGGTTACCACAATGTGCCACAAAGCCTTCACAAAATCCACAGATAAACGAAAATAAACACAAAAAACTATGCCTTCTATGGCTATTAAAGAAATTACTTTGGACGGAGGAACTAAAACACAATAATGAGAAAAGTACCCGGCCAATAGGCCCAAATACCTGATTCCAAACAACGTGTCTAAAGGAAGTCGCGAACGGGAATGAACTTCTTTTTCGGAATTCGCTTCGATTTATTGAGTATAATTAATTCATCCGATGCAATATTGAGGATTCACCAGACAGAAACGTACATTTGAGGATATAAAGAACTCATAATCGCAAGGAAATCCGGCAGAAACGTTCTGAGACTCCCCACAATCAGCGTTTGAAAATTGACTTTCCATTCCTTAAGGGGAATCCCATGTAAATAGAACAAACAGAATCCCAGTTAGGGCACTAGGACTAAAACCGCGATTTATCTCGAAATGTGATGTCATCACTAAAACTGTCTATTTTAAAAAAAGGATGCCATTGACCCATTATTCAATTCAAATGTCACCTGATTCCAGTGGCGTGGCGTGATTTGCGATGTATCGATTGATTTGCCATTTACACCTATGGGAAAGGATCGATAAACAGGGTGTTCGCAGCGAACACCTTAATAATCAATTCTTTACCATACCTACAAATGAGAAAATATCGATAATCGATCATTCACGCCACGCCCCTGCCTGATTCTCTTTTTAGACACGAAGATGCACCAAGTAAATTCACAGCAAGGTATTGTTATAGAACACCAAAAACTATATCGTCTCGTTACTTCAAAATTTTATTTTTGACTGAACCTTACAAAAATCTCGCCATTGAAAATTTTGCCTCAGCTGATCATATATATTGTACTCCAAGCATTGTCGCAATATTTAACAACAGTGTTAGCAAAGAGCGAAAAGACTAATACTATAACTATCAGCTAGTTATTGTCTCTCATTTAACGGTCTTGTTGTTTCAAGGTGCAGTCAGTTATTCAAGCCAACCAGCAATCAGTTATTCAAACTGCAACAGGGAATATTCAACCTGCTGTGCTCACTAAAGGGAACGTCATCCTAGTTAGCAAACCGAACTCTGTCATTCAAACAACTCAAGGCAGTCTCCAAACCCTCCAGGTAGTTGTACTCAATCCATTAGCTTCTGCCTTCAAGTTGGCAACTGCCGAGTAACTATTTCAATTTTCGTCCTTCGAATCACTGAGTCTACAAATCACATGGAAAATGGCTTAAAGAATTACCAGGACTACATGATCAAAGATACTCTCTTGTGCGTCTCAAGTAGTCTTTATGTATTCCTGCAGTTTTCAAAGTTTTTTTTTTTATTTTATTATTTTTTTTTATTGTAGTGGTTATTTGGCGATACAGCACCGTCACAAATATAACGTTATTCGTTGGTCCAGTACTGAAAAATAAAACGTTATTCGTCGGTTCGGTACCATCCGACAAAACGTTATTTGCCGGTAGGGTACCGTCCAATAAAACTTTATTTTTCGGTATGGCACCTTCAAGTAAAACGTTATTCGTATTAGTCCAGTCATTGGAGGATAATAATGGCCCCTATGCGGTTTTAAGAGCGGAACTTTTTTTCTCACCTGATTTCTCATCCATAAAGGGTCCTTAACGAGAATCCAAATTTGCGACATTTTATGAGAACCTCCCCAAAACCCCCAAAATCGAAAACAAAACCGCCAAAAATCGGCGATTTTCTCTCGTTTTTCGGCTAATATCGCCAAAACTGCTCATTTTTCGAGTAAGTGTGTACAAACTTGCCTAAAAGTAGATAAAATTACGGACATTTTCCACCCGGTCCAAAATTTTTCTGATAAAAAATATGCTCACTACAAGGTTGCCAAAAAAAATCCCAAAATGTTCAAAATTTCATTTTTTAAAGGTTTTTTGCTTGTAACTTTTTTTCCAGCAATTTTAGAAGGTAAGTGTACCTGCCCAAATGAAAAAAGATTCAAAATGCTACAATTTCGTGTATCAGACTTGTCCCTAGGGCGTAACGAGACGGCTCCGCGGCGTTGCCAAAGTTACGGTCTCCAAGGGCATTTTCCGCGGTGGTGCATTTCACGCAACCGCTCCACTCAATTTTACCTGAAAAATTTTGCGAAAAACTTTCTGGAATATGATTTCTATGTATTTTTTAGCGCTGAAACCGAATCTGAGCTTTTATGCCTTCGATTTTTGCTGGTTCAAACCTTCAAACCTTAGTTGGAAATGTTGCCATACCCGTAGTAGCATTTCCAAATAGTCCATTTAGTAGCAAGTGTCAAAGGGGAGGGGGTCATGTTTTTTAAAATTGCCTTACATTGAATCGGTTTCATGCTGTACTGGAACTTCAGGCCATTCTTGGAAGTTCCTACCAAAGTTACAAAGAGTCCTGATAGAAGAAGGGGGAAAAACCTTTCTCATCTTCACAGATTCTTGCAAAAAGATGTAATGTGTGGACCGCGCTGTGCTAATTGAAATTAGACATTCGATTTCCTGAATATTTAGACAAATTCTTAAACTTTCCAAAAATGTTTTGAAACTTTTTAGGCAGTCCAGAGATTTCATATATTTAAAAAAATATAACATGCAATAAAATAAACCTTTTTGGAGCTAATTTTTTAAAGCTCTCCTAATTACATGCGGAATCCAGATTCCAAGATGCAGTAATTTCTGCAATTGTGTCTTGCTTGTGTCAAAGCAATGTGGATAAGTCTAACTTCGTCCACTCTCTTGGTTTCAGGTTGTAGAAGCTAATAGTGACGATAGTTTATCAGCAGAAGACGACTCAACAAGGAAACGAAGAGATATCCTCACAAGGCGGCCTTCCTATAGAAAAATTTTAAACGATTTAGGCGGAGCAGAAATAGCCGGTAATTTTTTTTTAAATACTAAGAGGCTCTGCCTTCTGGCCCTCCGGGTCTTAACCGCAAGGTTTATCTCCTCAATGCATGATTTGAACAACTCAAAATCAACAGTGCTAGTCTGCAATCACATAACTCGGTTTGCAACGTCGCAGACTTCCTATCATACTTTTTTTTTAAACGGAAAACTACTCAATGGCAATTCTTTAAAACTATCGTGATTTTTCTTCCTTTGTACGAAAAAAATTCTGCATGAAATTCAAGGAATGATGTCAATTTATTCTCCTTTAAAAAACAGAGGCGAAGATTTTCAGACACAGCAAACAAGATATGTGATTGCGGACTCACGCCACTGTCGAAATGTTTTCTTATATGCATCTTTAATATAACTTTCAATTAATGCTTGTAAAGCTCCTTTGATATTTTTTTTTATTTTTATGTTTGTTGTGGTTTGTATGTTTTTGGTCTTTGATGTGTTGGTTGTGTTTGATGTGTTTCTTGTATTTGATGTGCAAACACATCAACAACAGAAAACACATAATGTTTGATGTGTTTCTTGTATTTGATGTGCAAACACATCAACAACAACAAACACATGAAACACTTAATAAGCACTGAACACACCAACAAATGAAACACATCAAACGCATCCACCCATCAAACAGAACAAACACAAAAAACATAGAACACAAAAAATACATTAAACCTGACAAACGCTTTGAAAACACAACATACACATCAAACATAATTGATGTACAGTAAAACTTCGATATAACGAATTTCTAGGGACCGGCGAAAAAATTCGTTAAATCGAAAATTCGTTATATCGAAAACCGCGGAAACCCCGATTTTAGGCCACAAATTTTTTTGAAATGTTCGGTTTTTTCCAGTTTCGTGTACACCCCCCCCCCTCTTAAACTATGACGATATTTTACGGAAAATCGGCGGGGAACACCCGGTTAACACTTGATCAGTAAAGCGGTGTTTTCCTCCAAACTGGCTAGGAGCCGTCGCGCGGCGCCACGCAGCGCCCGTTGCCATTTGATTGCGTAAAATATATCGACGGTGTAAGTCGGCAATCACATAACTCGATTTGCGACGTAGCAGACTTCCTATCATACTTTATTTTTTAAACGGAAAACTACTCAACGGCTATACTTTAAAACTCCAGTGATTTTTCTTCTTTATGCAAAGAAAATTCTGCAAAAACTTCAAGGAATCATGTCAACTTGTTCTCCTCTAAAAAAATAACATAGAGGCGGAGATTTTCAAACACCGCAAACGAGTTATGTGATTGCCGACTTACACCGTCGATATTGCAGTTATTAGGCCGCCGCAGGACGCAGCACTGCTCCGGGAGCAGTGCCGCGTTCAAAGCAGTACATGGGATCAAATTGGAGACCGGTCGTGCGCCGCGCGTGGCGTTGCAGCGTCAGTTGGAGGAAAACACTGCTTAAAACTGCGCAGCGGTAGTGAGGAGCACACGGCAGGGGTTGAAATGGTACTATGGACACTGTTCACGTAGCTCCTTAATCACCCCGTTTATTCGAAGAAACATGTGCGTCTCGGAAATTCCCAATCCCGCCGTATTGGAAAATGACCTTTGCACCGATACCGACGTACAATACGCGGGTGAAGACAAGCATGCTTTCTCCCCCGCGGTGTTGCCGGGCGCGCGGAAATTCCCGTGCATTCGTTAAATCGAGTTCGATTTACACGGTAAAGTTCGTACTCGGACCGAAGATTTCCTTCGTAAAAGTGAATATTCGTTATACCGAAATTCGTTATATAGAATTTATTTTACATTGAAAAGATTGGGATTTTTTCGGGACCGCGAAAAAAATTCGTTAATTCGAAGAATTCGTTATATCGACGTTCGTTATATCGAAGTTTTACTGTATTTAACACACTAGACTTATCCCAAATCATCCCTTTTCATCCCTGTTTATGTAAATTATTATCGTTATATCATAAGTAATACTGTCTTACACATTACATCCCAATTTATTCCCTTTCATCAAGCTCATCAAGCGCTTCAAACACATAAGCACATCAACAATAGCATTTACAACCTGGAGCTTTAGCCTATAGGCTCATTGTGATGTGCATTCTGAAACAAAACGTCAGTTCTCACAAGTTCAAACCCTGACATTCTTTTCTTTGATCATTCTCTTTTCATTTGCGCCTCAAATCAAGTGTTTTGTAGTTTCCTTATCTTAAGCATGCGGTTTTGATTTCAAGTAAGAGTTTGAAGTTCACATTTTTTTTAGTATTACAGCCTGTTGACTCCTCCAACTTTACCGATGTGATTTCATGTAGTTCAAGGTTCCTCTGGTCCATACCAAGTGATTACATATCAAAGATGTGTCTTATGGTTCTTCTCATTAGCAATTTAGAAGTAAATTAGAGACGACAATAACTTAATCCAGTCCTGCCCCTTTCTTCGGTGTTTGTTCGTGTCTCTTCTTTATGCGTGACCACTCGAGTGCATACACAGGTACTGTAGGTTAGATAGGTATTATAGCTTATTTTCTATTAGCAGTACCTTCTCTTAAGCGCTCTAATTCATCAAATAAATTCCACCAGTTGCAAATAATTTTGTGCGTAACTGATGAGTGAATTTGAATACCTCCTTGCGGTGACCTAAAGTTTCTCAGATCCGTCTTAAGTAGGTTTTGCATGTAAGCGGTTACTTTTGCCAGATAAAATTCCTGCTCTCGCAGCTTCACATTACTTAAACTTTGATCTCTGATTCATCAATGAATGACACTTATGGTGTCATTCATCATCAATCAGTTCAAAGCTATTTCAACAATGAATCATCAAAGGTCCGATTGAGGAAGAAATTTTCCGGTGAGTGCTATGGCTAAATCGACATTACAACGCAATTTACGAAGGTATCAACCGATACAGATTCATGAGGAAGTGATACCTACATGGTAAGTGATAATTCTACTATGTATCTATAAACTCTAATCTCTACATCTAATCTCTGTAAAGTAATCCAACAGCTTCTCTCCACTGAGGCATTGATGAACTAATCTGTAAGCTTTAAGCTGGAAGTTACCAATGATGGAGGCTCCATGGTGTTTTTCCTGCCCTGAAAAAGAAGGTTGTGCTGCAGGACGTAAGCCCTATGGAAAATTTGAAATATTGTGAATTCAAATACAGGCTACACTTCATCTATAAATATGGAAATTTTTCTCAAGTGCTTTCTCTCATAACTTTAAGAATTTTTATTTCGGTTTTTCGAGAAAATTATGAGATGATTATCCTAGTATCCCTGGTATTTCTGATTAAGTCAACTGGTTCACAGAATTTCTCAGATATGGATGGTAGGATTTTAAAAAGTCATGAAATTACATCCTACCATGAAAATCAGTCAGAAAAGAACAGTTAATATTAACCAGAAATGATACCTAGATCTCAAAGGAAATATAAAAGCAAAACATAGGTATCGATGGCAAAATGCATTAATTACACATCTTAATTACAGTGCTCAAAATTTCAACCCTAAGTTTTGATTTTAGCAGGAAAACCAGTTGACTTAATGCTTGGAATACTTACAGAATTTTCAGCACATAAAAGAGAAAAATCACTCTCATTTCAGAAATTTTGTCGAATAATTTTTAATTAGGACATCAAGAGAAGCAATCAGAATAAAACTTAGTGAATCTAGGTAAGTGGTTTCTCAGATTGGCCATGCCACTGATTTCCTCGTTTTGTCATTGATCACTATCCACAAAGTTAAGCATACTTACACTAAATGTTACACAAGAGTTGTATGTGTAACCGGATAATACATAAATAACTATGATTATCTTACCTGTTAAACTGTATAATGAAATGAAAATTATTTTCACTTCGAGACAGATGATCATGTCCTGGTTGATACCTTCACAAGTTGCGTTGTAATGTCGATTTAGCCATAGCACTCACCGGAAAATTTCTTCCTCAATCGGACGTTTGAAGATTCATTGTTGAAATAGCTTTGAACTGATTGATGATGAATGACACCATGAGTGTCATTCATTGATGAATCAGAGATCAAAGTTTAAGTAATGTGAAGCTGTGAGAGCAGGAATTTTATCTGGCAAAAGTAACCGCTTACATGCAAAACCTACTTAAGACGGATCTGAGAAACTTTAGGTCACCGCAAGGAGGTATTCAAATTCACTCATCAGTTACGCACAAAATTATTTGCAACTGGTGGAATTTCTTTGATGAATTAGAGCGCTTAAGAGAAGGTACTGCTAATAGAAAATAAGCTATAATACCTATCTAACCTACAGTACCTGTGTATGCACTCGAGTGGTCACGCATAAAGAAGAGACACGAACAAACACCGAAGAAAAGGGCAGGACTGGATTAAGTTATTGTCGTCTCTAATTTACTTCTAAATTGCTAATGAGAAGAACCATAAGACACATCTTTGATATGTAATCACTTGGTATGGACCAGAGGAACCTTGAACTACATGAAATCACATCGGTAAAGTTGGAGGGGTCAACAGGCTGTAATACTAAAAAAAATGTGAACTTCAAACTCTTACTTGAATTCAAAACCGCATGCTTAAGATAAGGAAACTACAAAACACTTGATTTGAGGCGCAAATGAAAAGAGAATGATCAAAGAAAAGAATGTCAGGGTTTGAACTTGTGAGAACTGACGTTTTGTTTCAGAATGCACATCACAATGAGCCGATAGGCTATAGCTCCAAGTTGTAAAATACAATGAAAATGGAAAATCAAGCAGGAGTTAGTTTCGGACAAAACGGAGTGTTGTAGTGAATTTCTCGTCAAATTTTACTCATAAATCACAATATGTCATAGAGTCACAAACCGGAACATTAGCTAATTATAAACAAACCGGGCAGCAGCCATATTTTTTGAACGAATTCGGAATAAACGGGGGGTTACCTATGAAGTGTGACGTGTGCTCTCAGCCCGCGCCTGCAGCCCGGATTCCAAAAACGTTCCAGAGACCTTCAATTTTTGGTGTTTTTAAAGTGAGATTTCTCAGGACAGAGGGCTCAAAAAAATCTGAAAAAAATTCAGCATACTCACTTCACCTAGTACTTTCATAATATGTAATTAAAAGATTAAGCCAAACTGGCTCACTGGCATTCCTTGCAAGTAGGCTTAAGTTTTTAGAAAATTATAGTTCTCTCAATTGTGGTTTTTTGTCTGGCCAGTGTTTTTTTCATCAGACCTTTCATTTTAATTTTCTTCATCTTGTCTCTTTTCTCATGGCAGGCTGCAAAGTGGAGTCGTCAAATTCAGATTGTGATTCTAACCTTGATAGTGAATTATCTTCACATTCCTTGCCTACGCACTACCCGACAGGTTAGTCCCTGATAATGTGTTTACCATAACAGTCATTTGAAAACATCTTAAGGCTTCAAAGAACCCTTATCTCTGAAGGTTTGTGTCATTCACAATGAAATCTACAAAGTAAGAATCTTCTCCAACAGCAAGAGGAATTTTTCGTTATTTATCTTTTTTTTTCATCTATTGAACTCCTGATTAACACATTTGCTCCTTCAGAAGTTTCATCAATCCCCTTTAGCCCTGAGTTTGAGGTTACTTGTCATCAATAAATCGATGACACACATGCTTGTTAATGGCAGGGTCATGGACAATCGTCAGTTTTGACCTTTAAATACAAAATTACGTCTGATTTGGCCAATTATGGTTATTCATTTTGAGTCTCTCGTAACGTTTTCTTTCAAGTTTCTTGTAACGAATCAACAGCCTTAACTAGTGTATCAGTACTTGCAAAAATTAAAACAATAGTGATTCTACCAGAATCTGGTCTTACGCCTTTTGGAGCTTGTTACGTAGTAAAGAAGTCAAATATTAAGAAAAATTTGGGCTCATATTGACTTAGCCTCTAGTTGGATGTAAGAATGGTCTCAACCCAGTACAGAAAGTGCTTAATGTTTTAATGAAAGATTTTACAAACACTAATGACTTTTTTGTCAATTTCTCTCTCCCTCTGAAGACTGTATGACTTTAGTGCTGCAATGATGTAGGGAAGAATCCACTTTTGACTGTTAATTTTGTGCCAAGAGGAGATATCCTCCTAGTTGAATCAAAAGATCTTTCAAAATAGAAAATATTTTCATACTATGAGTCAAATTGTGATCACATGTTATTTTTAAATATTTCCCTGAAATTGATTTGGTATATTTGTCCAGTAATACCTGCAGGTTCATTGCAACTCTGTAGTCAAGGAGAAGGAGCTCAAGGTATTCAATCAATTACAATGACAAATGCATCATCAGGAGGGACAATAGTCCAATACGCCGGTCAAGACGGGCAATTCTTCGTACCAGGTGAAATTGGTAAGTTCTACAATATCCTGACTAAAATGAAAAACGAATTCTGAAGTAATTTTCTGTAACGTAATCAAAGTGTGATATGTATTACTTAAATGACATGCAGCCGTAGGCAGAGATGCCAAAAGTTCCCAGCCCTTGCATTTTTCAAATTTGCCTTCCTATTTTAATTATACTGTTTTCCTCCAAATTTGTACAAGGATGGCCCTTTCTTGTTTTCTATGCACAAATCGCTGTGTATCTGGAATATGTGTACATTTGCCACTGTGATTATTTGAGGAACACAAGTTTTTCACTTCTTTGTGGAAAGTACGCAATTTTTTTGCTGATGCACGCCTACCCTCCCATTTTTGCATGATACCTGCCTATTGCATGGTCAAGAAGCTTTTGCTACCCTGGTGCTAGAACTCATTTGCTAGGCAATTGTTTTGTGCGACTCATTCATTGGGATTGGATCAACAAATAACTTTTCAAAGTGCCTCAAATCCGAGATCACCCATCTCTAAGCTATTTCTCAATTCGGTAGTGCCAGTGATGTAGCCTAAGTTTTTATCTAAATTTTTTTTTTTTTTTTTCTAAAGGACGAATTAAAACAAACCCTCGAAAAATCGTCTGACTCGAATGGTAAACCCAGTTATTGAGAATACATGAAAGATCCATGCCCATAATCCATACATACACAGATCCAAGAACATAACATAATGGCAGTCACCAGAGGAAAAACCGGTTCGAGATAAAATTAAAATCTTAAAGAGCCTCGCCAAAAAGTGGTGTTTTTTCGCCCCTTTTTT